GGGATATTTACTTCTGGCAACTTAAAGCTCTTGACCACCTCCGTCTCGACATCATTGTTACAGACAGGCGTGTTCTCCACTCAGTTTCCTGAAGTTGATGACGAGCTCCTTCATTTTGCTGACTTTGAGGAAGAGATTGTTGTCTTTACACCATGCCACAAAGTTCTCTATCCATCTCCTGTACTCTCTCATCATTGATTGAGATCCAGCCCACTCCAGCGTTAATTGTAAATAGAGTTTTAGCTGAATTTGGCCACAGGGTCATGGAGGATCTGCGTGCTCGGCTGGGGACTCCATGAGGGCCAGTTGCTTTCTGTGGGTTCACTCTCAAGGCTGATCTGATGTCAGTTGCTGACGCAGACTGACAGCTGTGTTTTATAGTTCCCTGCCAACTGAGTCAGTGGCTCTACTAAGTCATTTTATGTGATAGATGTTGACTTTTCTCCACTTGAATATATTCTGTGTCTTTGCTATCCTCATTGTCTTCAGGTGATGCTCAACATGGAGGTGTACTGATGCATTAACTGAGTGTGATAGGTGATAACAAGCAGGAGGTTTAATCTGAAGGCATAGGATTTTGCAAGCTATGGATATCTAAGGCTCATCCACAGGACTGTACCACCATACCCTTACCTCTGTCTTGCTTATAGGGTTGTAGAGTCATACAGCATAGAAACAGACCCTTCGGTCTACGCCCTGGGGAAAAGACCTTTGCTATTCACCTTATCTATACCCCTCATGATTTTTATAAATGTCTATGAGGTAAGTCCTTAGTCTGATGTTTCAGTGAAAAAAGCCCCAGCTTATCCAGCCTCTCCTAATAACTAAAATTCTTCAATCCCAGTAGCATCCTTGTAAATCTTTTCTGCACCCTCTCCAATTTGATAATGTTCTTCCTATGGCAGGGTGATCAGCATGTTGTAAAAGCAAACCAACTTGTCACATTCCCTGCCTTTCCTCACAGTCCTGCATATCTGTGCCTTTCAATCACTTATCTAATTCCCTTTGGAAAGATTGAATTTTCTTCCACCATCGTCTTGGGCGATTTGTTCCAGATCATAATCATTCACTGCATTGGAAAGTTTTTTTCCTTAAGTTGCCTTTGGAACTTTTTCATCTTAAATCTGTGTCCTGTTATTTCCAGCCTGTCCACGAGTGGGAACACTTTCACTCTATCTGCTCTGCCTATACTTGTCAAGGTCAAAAATCACACCACACCATGTTATAGTCCAATAGGTTTATTTGGAAACACTAGTTTTTTGGAGTGTTGCTCAACCTGGTGTCGTGTGATTTTTGGCTTTGTCCAACCCAGTCCAAAACTGGCACCTTCACATCATGGCTACACCTTTCAAGATTTTGAATTCCTCAATCAATTCTTCTCCGAGGAGAAGAATATCAGCTTCTTCAGTCTATTCTTCACACTTCTCTCTGCCCTCAGCCTCAATCTCACCATGAAAAGCTAGATGAGAAGGTCAATTGGAATGATTTATGGGCCTCAAATTGCCATTGCCAACATATCCTGCCTTCCCAGTAGGTGAGAAAACTCGGTGGTGACCTGTCTGCCGGAATTGCACAGGGGAGTGTGGGGTGGCGGTAGGTTCCACTTGCTAAGATCTGGAGGCAGCCATTGGCATGCATGACAGCCTTAGGGTGGCCTCTGAAAGCCAACCCTGCCCTTACTCCATGGCACTAAAAACAAATGAAAACCATTCATCATCTTGCAATTGGATCCCCTGATGAATTGGCCTCAGCTGATGGTATTTAGGACTTCAGATTGCATGGTAGTTTCTGGCAAGGTAGGAATACATCAACAGGGCTTGGGATAGTTTGTGAAGCTCAGACGTCAGTTTTTAAATGGCATGTGAACCAGTGAGTATTTATTGGGCAAGGCCAGCATGTCATTCACTATTAAGCTCTCCTGCACCCAAAGTTTGATTTTCTACAGAAACTGGTATGGTACCTTCCTTTGGGTGAGGGCATTACCATGACGTGTTGGAAAATTTTGAGATGTTGGCTGATAGATATCCTGTGTATATCTGTGTTGAGCTGTTGTTTGTCTGCTCTGTGGAACAGTGCTTTCAA